GTATGCCACAGAGAGCCTGGGTCCTGGTAACTGGGTAGAAAGTAGGCATTCATGCGGGGAGATAACCCCTCCGCCTGAAAAACAGGGAAAAAAAACAAAAAACAAAAAAGGAAATGCAATGAACCCGGTTATCAATGCTCACCGTCCAAACACTTCACATGCATACACATTACACATGAAACACAAAAAGCAGGATGATAAAGAAAGAAGAGAGAAGAAGACAAGGGAGAAGACGAGAAAAGAACTTCATTGAAATTCATTCATAATTAAGGATCACAAAGTCGATCTTATCTCTATTGAGTCTATTCAATGCTGGGTACCTAACCTCCAACCAGCCTCCTCTCTCTCTTTGTCACAAATCTATCTCTAACCAACGCCCAACACTGTTTCTGTCTCGCAACACTTGAACACGATGTCTCTCTATGTATCCAAGCCCTCTCCCACTGCTCATCCAAGGCAAGTGCCATGAGGGGCACTCCCATCTTTCCATCTGGAATCTGACACAAGGAGGGTCGTTCACATGGCACTCCTTGTGTCTGATTCCAAAACAAAAGACAGGATGCAAAAGAAACCTCTGTTTCCTTGCCTTCTTGTTTTCAACACCTCCAGGATCACGGTCAGGTGCATTCTCGGACTTGTTTGAGATCCCCACTATCGTTCCCTGTCTGACACAGATGTTATGTACCCGATTGAACTTCCATCCACAATGAATTCACACGTTCCCATACATGCATGCAATTACAGAGTAGACTCGGAGGAGGCAAATCCACACAAAACCGGAGAGAGGATATGCACAGCGGAAGCTCAAAATACACAGAGAATTGAAAAACGAATTTCAATTCTATAATCCTCCGTCCCCCTCCAATCAATCCAAAGTACTTGTTCCAAGAATCACAACCACGTTTACAACAACCCCGAACAACCAAAAACAAGTGTTCAACGAAGTTCACAGGAGTCTTCTTCTTCCTCCTCGCCACCTCATACCCCTGGCTATGGCTGCCGTAGCAGCAGTAACCCCACAGCTGTCACAACGTGCCAATCTGACCCAGCAGCCCCAATGACAGCAGCGCCAGCTCAGTGCCTGCACTGAAGTGCAGCGCTGGAAGTCCTGATGAAGAAGGAGACAACCGATCCAGCACTTCGAAGAAGAGAAAAACGAAGTTCCTCATGAGGAGGAACAGCAAATATGGCTGCCAAGTGGAGAAAGGCAGCACCCAAACCCAACAACACAGTCCTGTGGAAGCTCTCGTGCAGAGCTGCAGAATAGCAGCAGTGCTATCTCCAACGTCATGTCCCAGCCCCAGCTATGGCTGGGCTTCAAGGAAGAAGATGCCCTCACCCAAAATAACGCAGCAACACTTCGGCAACGAACGGGCAGAGTTTCCCCAGCCAAACAACGAGACAAGACCCGAACCCTTTTTCCTTCCCGCTACTCTTACCCTCTGCCTAGACCTCCGACGGACTCCAGAGGCAACAAGCCAAGACTCATCTGTATATAGATAGAAACAGGGGAAAAGGGGACCCAGACCTATGACAAGGCAAAAAGAAAAGGCCGAATGGCCTAGAACTACCAAACAGAGACTACGAGTGACAGACTCAGGGATCAAGTCCCACAGGGCTCAACACTCACAACCAAAACACACAGGTTACAGGTCACGGGATAAACTCCCGCAAGGCTCAAAACAAACAAACAGCAAACAAAAAGTCAACACAACAGTCAAAGCTTGCAGGATCGAGTCCCGACAATGACGACAGGGACGAAATTAGTATACAGCCCGCTTGTAGCACTGCAATTCATTGCACAGAGATCCACAATGTTTATCAAACATCTCAGATTACATCCCGAAGCACCTGAGCACTGTCAAAGAGAATTTGATGCCACGAGATAAGGAAAACCCACACGTGTCCAACAAACACAGAATCAAGCAAGACCATTTTTTTTGTTCTCAGTTGGCCAGATGACTATGGACCAAAACCCCAATGGCCCCACAGCCGATAAGCTTTGGTATTTTCCAAAGACGATGACGACAACCATGATGATGTGGGGCCATGACCATGACAAAATGATGAAGATGATGACGATGATGAACATAAAACTTGAGATATGAAGAGGAGGAAGAGGAGGCAGAGGAGGCGGCGGAGGAGGCGGAGAAGGAGGAAGAAGAAGAAGAAGGAAACAGTGAATGCGGCAAAGAGAAAGTGAAGAAGAAGAAGACAAAGGAGGAGGAGGAGGAGAAGGGAAAGAAGCAGAAGGCAAAGAAAGCGACGATGAGGAAGGAGGAGAAGATGGAGAAGAAGGCGAAGAATAAATAGGAGAAGGCAACAAAGAAGAAAAAGGTGAAGAATAAGGCCAAAAAAAAAAAAGGTGAAGAAGAATGCAAAGGAGAAGGCAAAGATAGTGAAGAAGGTGAAACCTGTGAAGAAGGCGGTGAAGGTGGTGAAGGAGGCAAAGACAGCAGTGAAGATGAAGAAAAAGTTGGAGAAGGTGGAGGAGGCGGAGGAGGAGGAGGAGGAGGTAAAGAAGGAGGAGTAGAAGAAGAATAAGTAGAAGAATAAGTAGAAGAACAAGTAGAAGAATAAGTAGAAGTAGAAGAAGAGGAAGGAGGAGGAGAAGGAGGAGAAGGAAGGAAGGAAGGAAGGAAGGAAGGAAGGAAGGAAGGAAGGAAGGAAAGAAGGAGGAAGAAGAAAGAAGAAGAATGAAGAAGGCTCACGGTGCCAGCCCTGCAGAGTTCCTGTCCTACCAGAACAGCAGTCCGTGCCAGCTGGAGGGTGTAGTTGGCAGGCAACACTGCTTGAGGCACAAAAGACAAACCTGGCACCAACCCGAACGCATGCACGTCACCGTACAATCAGCTAAAGACCCAAAAATGCTCAGCTTCCTGGGTCAACCTGAATTTTGGGAATGCCACCTTTTCTTGTGGCTTCAGGTTGATGGTTGAGTTCACAGCTAAGCCCTTTCAATAACATTGGTGATCAAGCGGTCATCTGTAAAAGCAATCATTGCAATAGCTGGGAGGTCAGACTTCATATGTCCAAACAATATGAGAGATCCCATAAGCAGAACCAGAGAAAAGACAGACTCAGAGACAAAGAGCGAGAGACAGAGAGAAAATCGGAGGGAGAGAGTTCGAGTGATAGAGGAACAGATAGCTTTACCTTTTGCAATTAGTTGAAGTTTTTCTTTTAACCAGTCCATATTTTTCTCCAAATAGTCCATGCAATACACCAGGCCTACCAAGGAGTCAACAAAGCCCAATGAGCAAGGAGTGGATTATAGTATGGACAGTCAGTTGATGCACTGTAGCTGTTGATCCCCCAAAATGCAGTTCGGATGCTGACACTACAGCATCTATTTTCTTCCGTCCCACTTTGTTTCTCTTTCGGACTTTTCCCACTGTTGCTATGTTTTGGTCCAGTTCACAAAGCAAGACTCATATTTGAGATGATGACATTCATTGCAAGTGATGAAGAAGAACAATGAGATCAAGAGAGGAAAAGAAGGAAGGAGAGAAGCACAAGAAGAAGAACAAGCTTGAACCATCACCCTCCTCTCGCCACCATTATCTCCCCACATGTTATCACCTCCTACTCTTTACTACACCACCAGTACATTTCCCAGCCATTTTTCTCCAACGCGCCGTGCATGCTGTCGCAACTTTCGGGGGTTGGCAACCAGTGCAAAATGGCTGGTGGCGTAAGCCAAAACGAGGTCCGTGCCAGTTCCTTTTTTTGGCATGCAGCAGGGTTGCATAGCTGCCAACCGCCGACCATTTTGCAGCCGACCAGTAGGCCCAACCGGTCGGCGATCTGTCGACCAGTCAGAAAACAGCCATCCACTAATTGTTTTTCAGATCTGAGTTGGAAGCTGTACTGCGCTTGCTGAGTACAGCCCAAATCCACTGAGAAACTTTTGGGGAGGGGGGG